AAAAAATAAAAAAAAAAAAAAAAAAAAAAAAAAAAAAAAAAAAAAAAAAAAAAAACGCGCGAAAGCGAAAAATGCACGGGGAATGGACGTCGGAGCGACGGCAAGAGTCGGACCGAGGCATAAGGTCGAGGTCAGTTCGGGGAGGGTGCACTGATGTTCTTCGTGCTTGCTGAGTGTCCGGGTGCATCCTGGGGAGGGCCCCCCTGGAGGCTCCGTGTGTCTTGGCCGACGGAGGACCCCACGTTCTTCGGGGGATGTTCTCCTGGCCCCTCGGCCCGGCTGCAGCAACCCCCTGGAGAGGTGCTGCGCGGCGGGAATTTTTACATGACCACCGCCTGGAGGGTCAGTTTTCGGAGCTCCTGCTCCTCCTCCTCCTCCTCCTCCTCCGCCTCCTCCGCCTCCTCCTCCTCCTCCTCCTCCTCCTCCTCCTCCTCCTCCTCCTCCTCCTCCTCCTCCTCCTCCTCCTCCAGGCGGTGGATATGGACATATTCGGGCCCCCCGGGGGGCCGAAAGATGTCCATCTCCACCGCCCGCTGGGGCACCAGGACGCTTGGCATCGCTCGGACGTGTGCACTTTTCCTTCGGCGAGGACAGGACCATCGAGGAGCATCCTTGATCATGTGGCGAAAAAGCCACGCACGAAACCGAATGAAACACAGGAAATGGACGTCCGAGCGATGGTCAGGGACGTCGGTCCCCAGGCGGTGGATGTGGACAAGTCCCCGCCTCGCAGGTGCGGCTGGACGTGTCTGCAGACGACCCCGACCTCTTCGGCCCGCGCTGGGTGCGAGCCCTGGTGTCGTGGCTGCAGCTGCACGACCTGGTCGTCCTGCACGCGCTGCCCGTGCGCCCGGCCCAGCTGCTCGGCGCCTCGGGCGGGCCCCCGCCCCTGCACGTGGTCGCCCCTGGCAGCCGGCGGCGCGCGGTGGCTCGGCATCGCTCGGACGTGTGCATTTCTTCTCGGCGAGAGCCATCGAGGACCGTCCTGGACCATCGAGCAGAAAGAAAAAAAAAAAAAAAAAAAAAAAAAACGCGCACGAAATCGAGAAGTGCACGGGAAATGGACGCCCGAGCGACGGCAAGGTGGACCTCTCCGCCCTGGTGGACGCCCACCGCTGGGCCGCGGCGCCCGGGTGGAGCGCACTGCCACGGGCCGCCCGGAGGCTGCTGTGGGGAGCCTGCGCCACGCTGGCGGTGCTGGCCGGCACCGTGTTCTACCTAGCTTTCGTCAGGCGGCTCGGCGTTCTCACCATCCGGCGGCGAGCGAGGGGGGGGAACGAGAAGGGGAAGGCCTTCTCAGAAGGCGGCGGGACTTCTCAGAAGGCCTCGCGCCTCCTGAGAAGTTGTTGTTGTTGTGGCTTCGGGGAAGGCTTCGAAAACTTCTCAGAAGGCCGGGGGACTTCCGAGCCCTCTGAGAAGGCCTTCTCCTTCTCACTTCCCCCCCCCGCTCGCCGCCGACATACGCATGCACATCTACTGCTCCTACACAGTGCACCAGATGAAGCGCAGCGCGTTCATAGCCGAGCCTCTCCGGAGGGTCAACCGTTACTCGCCGAACGAGCTCCTGGAGCTCTGCGCGGCCTGGCTCGCGGCCGCCGCGGCGGCGGCCTGGCTCGCGCTCGAGGCCGCGAGGCTCGGAGTCTTCTACGCCGGCGTGCTGCTGAGCATGGCGTTGACCGAGTATCGGGCTGAGCTGATGTTAAATCCGCTGGCGTGGGTGTCTTTCTCGGGATAGGAAAAAACGCCATAAACATAAACTTTTGGCGCTCCGCGCGGAGTTCTTGGATCCGCGCGGAGCGCCAAAAGTTTATGCTTATGGCGTTTTGTTATTGTTCTGTGCTTGTTTTTAACTGATCGGTTTTCGGCCAACAAGAGACGGGGGAACACGCACAAGCAGCAACCAAACTCAGACAAACCATGCAGTACAAAATGGAGCCGCACCGGAAACGGCGCGAACGAGGATCCTAAGACGGAAAAAGACACAGGTCAGACCCCCAAACAGAAGAAAACACGGCCATCTTGTGAACGATTGAAAAATCGCACCCAGCGTGTTTACCATCATTGAAGGTATTGGGGCATCATCCACGCGCGCACGCGCCAGAGCCGCTGGATCTCGAGGGACGACACACGGGGAACATGACCAAGATGGCGCGGGATTTTGTCGATGCTGATCTTCGTCATGGTCCATCTCGGCCGTCGCCGAGTCGCGAGGATGATCGTTGAATTGGCGCTGGCCAGAAACGACGGTAACCGAGATTGACACGCCGCTTCCGCGTTCAGTCTTGGTCATGGTCCCCGCTTCCTCTTCCCCCATCCGATCTGACGCTGCCACGAAAGTGCAACACGACCTTGCACCGAACATGCAGCACAACGAAAGCCATGGCCGGAGCCCTATGGACCCCACCTCCCCGCGCCACGCTCCGGGCCGCGCCGACCTGCGCAGGTCCGTCCCCGCGGGGCCCGAGGGACCCGGCAGAAGCGCTCGTCGCGAAAACATTGC